AATTTCCAGATTTTTGTGTGTTATAGTTCACGCCATCTGCATGAATCTGGGTGACCGGCCCCGTATCTCCTAAAATTTTACGGGCATATAAAAAATGACTAAGTGAACAATAGTCATCGCTTTGCGATATGACTGTTTTCTATTTTTTGACGTTTTAGGGCCATAAAACAGGAATTAGGATGATTTACGAATTTTTGTGTGTTATAGTCCACGCCATCTGCATGAATCTGGGTGACCGGTCCTGAATCTCCTTAAATTTTGTGGGCTCATAAAAAATGACCAAGTGAACAATAGTTATTGCTTCGCTATGAACATTCCACATTTTTTGGTGTTTTAGCGCCATAAAATAGGAATTTAGGATGATTCCCATATTTCTTGCACAATAATCCATGCCATGCGCATGAATTCGGGCAACCAACTCTGAATCACCTAAAATTTAGCGGACCAATAAAAAATGACATAATGAACAATAGTCATAATTTCGTCATGACCGTTCGTCGTCTTTTAAAATTTTAGAACCATAAAACATGAATTCATAACTATTCCCAAATTTTCGGGTGCTATAGTCCACGCCATCAGCATGAATCCGGGCGACCGGTCCCAAATTTCCAAAAATTTTGCAGGACCACAAAAAACTACCAAATGAACAATAGTCATCGCTTCGCTACGACTATTCCGTATTTTTTGGTGTTTTAGCGCCATAAAATAGGAATTTAAGACGATTCTCACATTTCCGTACGCAATAATCCACGCCATCTTTATGAATTCGGAGGACCAGCCCCGAATCTCCTAAGATTTTGTGGGCCCATCAAAAATGACCTAATGAACAATAGTAATCGTTTCTCCATGATCGTTCCTCGTTTTTATCATTTTAGGATCATAAAACAGGAATTCACAACTATTTCCACATTTTCGTATGCTATAGTTTACGCTATTTGCATGAATTCGGGCGACCAACCCCAAATCTCCTAAAAATTTGCGGGCATATCAAACACAACTTAATGAATAATAGATGACGCTTCGCCAAGACCTTTCCTCATTTTTTGGCCTTTTTGGGTCATAAAACAGGAATTCAGGACAATTTCTAAATTTTCGTGTACTACAGTCTATGTCATCTACATGAATTCGGGCGACCAGCCCCGAATCTTCTAAATTTTTGTGTGCCATAAAAATGATCTAATGAACAATAGTTATCGTTTCACCTTTATCGTTCCTCAATTTTACCCATTTTAGGGTCATAAAACAGGAATTCAGGGAGATTCTAAGATTTTCATATGCTATATAGTCCACGCCATCTGCATGAATTCGGGCGACCGGCCTCAATCTCCCAAAATTTTGTGGGCCCATAAAAAATAACCTTATGAACAATAGACATTGCTTTGCCATGACCGTTCCTTTTTTTTTGGCGTTTTAGGGCCATACAATAGGAATTCAGGACAATTTTTATATTTTCGTGTGCTACACTCCACGCCATCAACATAAATTCAGGAGACTGGTCTGTATCTCCTAAAATTTTGCGGGCCATCATAAAGGACCTAATGAACAATAGTCATCAATTTGCCATGATCGTTCCATATTTTTGGCATTTTAGCGCCATAAAATAGGAGTGTAGGGTGATTCCCATATTTTCATGCACAATAATCCACGTCATCTGCATGAATTCGGATGACCGACCCCGAATCTTCTAAAATTTAGCAAGCTTATAAAGAACGACCTAATGAACAATAGTCATTATTTTGTCCTGATAGTTCCTCATTTTTTTGGCGTTTTAGGGCCATAAAATAGGAATTTAGGACGATTCTTAGATTTTTGTATATTATAGACCACGTCATCTGCATGAATTCTGACAACCGGTACTGAATCTCCTAAAATTTTGCAGGCCCATAAAAATGACCTAATGAACAATAGTTATCGCTTCACCATGACTGTTCCTCATTTTTTGGTGTTTTAATGTAATAAAATAGGAATTTAGGACTATTCCAAGATATTCGTGTGCTATATATAGTCCACTCTATTTTCATAAATTCAGGTGACCGGTCTCGAATCTCCTAAAATTTTATGGGCCTATAAAACACGACCTAACGAGCAATAGTCATTGCTTCGCCATGTTCGTTCCTCATTTTTTGGCATTTTAGGACCATAAAACAGGAATTCAAGACGATTCCCAGTTTTTTGTGTGATATAGTCCATGTCATTTGCATGAGTTCGGACGACCAGCCCTAAATCTCGTAAATGGGCCCATACAAAAAGATCTAATGAAAAATAGTCATCACTTCGCCATAACAGTTCATTATGTTTTACCTTATAAATGCCATAAAATAGGAATTCAAGACGATTCCCAGATTTTTGTGTACTATAGTCTACATCATATGCATGAATTCGGGTAACCAGGCCTGAATCTCCTAATATTTTTCGGGCCCATAAACAATGACCTAATGAACAATAGTCATTGCTTCACCAGGACAGTTCCTCATTTTTTGGCGTTTTAGGGTAGTAAAACAAGAATTAAGAATGATTCTCTAATTTTTGTGTGTTATAGTCCACGTCATTTGCATGAATTCGAGCAATTGGCCCCGAATCTCCTAAAAACTTTCGGGCCTATCAAAAGCGGCCTAATGAACAATAGTCATCGCTTCCCTATGGCCATTACTTATTTTTTGGCGTTTAGGGGCATAAAACAGGAATTTAGGACGATTCCTACATTTTCGTGAACTATAGTGCACGTCATGTGCATGAATTCGGGCGATCGGACCCGAATCTCCTAAAATTTTGTGGGCCCATAAAAATAATCTAATGAACACTAGTCATTGCTTTGCCATGACCGTTCCTCTTTTTTGGCGCTTAAGGACCATAAAACAGGAATTTAGGACGATTCACATATTTTCGTATGCTATAGTCCACGTCATCTGCATGAATTTAGGCGATCTGCCCCGAATCTCCTATAATTTTGCGAGACCATCAAAGGCGATCTAATGAACGATAGACGCCGCTTCGCCATGACCGTTCCTCATTGTTTAGCATTTTAGGACCATAAAGCATGAATTTAGGACGATTCCTAGATTCTCGTGTAATATAGTCCACGTCATCTGCATGAATCCATTAAACATGAATTTAGGACGATTCCTGAATTTTCGTGTGCATATAGTCCATGCAATCTGCATGAATTCGGGCGACCGGCCCCGAATCTCCTAAAATTTTATGGGCCCATAAAAAATGACCTAATGAACAATAGTTATCGCTTTGCCTTGATCGTTCCTCATTTTTTCGCATTTAGGGCCATAAAATAGAAATTGAGGGAGATTCTAAGATTTTCGTGTCTATAGTCCACGCCATCTACATGAATCGGCGACTGGCCCTGAATCTTCTAACAAATTTTGGGCCCATAAAAAATGACCTAATGAACAATAGTCATCGCTTTGCCATGACCGTTCCTCGTTTTTAGCGTTTTAGGCCCATAAAATCATAATTCTAGACGATTTCTAGATTTTCGTGTGCTGTAGTCCATGTCATCTACAAGAATTTGGACGACCGACCCCGAATATTCTAACATTTTGCGGGCCCATCAAAAACGACCTATTGTGTAGTTACTACCTTAATACACAACCAAATAATTACAAAGCATAGTAATTATAATAACATATTTTTTGGTACACGTATGTGTTTAACATATTGATAAAGTCACTTCAAAACAAACCACTTATGAGCTAAAATTTGATACTTATAGTAAAAGAGTAGAAAAAGCATGCCATAACACAATTACAATGTAATTCACGGTGTCATGTTTTGTTGCACAATCATAACTACATACACAGTTTATTATTATTTTTTATTTTGAAAGTGTAACTGCTTTCTCTTAATTACACATAATTCCATGGTGATCACTTAATTACTTGGTCAAACAGCAAAACTATATCCCATTAATCCTAAATTCAATTACAAAGTGGCCTAACAAAAAAAACAATAAAAGTTAAAAAGTATCTAATGAGTGAAGGTGTAGAAATATTTCTGTTTAATTCCAATATCTAAATTTGATCATAATAATCTTACTCAAGCTGATTTTCCCAGTGGTTAAGCGGGAAGACTTAAGATCTTCCGCACACTGTGTGCGCATGGGTTCGGACCCTCATAGCCAGCAATTAATCATGCATTTAGCTGGGTTAGACCGGTAACTTAAAAGGATTATAATCCTGAACTCTTAAGCTTTAAATCCAAGCTTCCACCTCTTTTCTTTAGTGGAAATGACACTTTTAAGCATGGGTTCGAACCCTCATAGCTGGCAATCAATTAATTATGCATTCAGCTGGGTTAGGCCGGTAACTTAAAAGGATTATAATCCCGAGTCCTTAAGGTTTAAATCTTAGCTCCACCTCTTTTCTTTAGTGAAAATGACATCAGGTAGCCACTTTTAAGCATGTTATTTAAAATATATCCATATTTTACAATGTATTAGCAGATTAGCCAATTTCGCTCAAACTTCAGGACACGATGTCCTAGAGTTTAAACCTCAAAGTTCAAAGTTCAGTACATCGTGTCCTAAAGTTCAAAAATTATGTCCAGAAGTCCTGAATTTCAAACTTAGTCCTGAAGTTTGGATGAATTGGCTAATCTTTATATACAAAAACTATACACTTTTTTTATATATTTTTTCAGCAACTGAATTTAAATAATTTATGGTGTGGGCTAAAAATAATAATACCCTTATAAATTATGGATATATTTTAAATAGCGAGCTTAAAAGTAACTATTGCTACACTTTGCCCTTTTCTTTACCTTACATTGTTAGAAAATACAGTATCACTCTTACTAAATCAACTATACCAATATGCAAATATATTTGCAATCTAAAATGAAGATTGTCCATGTGAATTTCAACCAGGCTGGTTTTAATCATGTTCACATTTACTTTTAAGTCCAATGTTTTTACGAATCTTCTTATCGACTCATAAAGTCATAGTAATAAATTAAGATGGACTTAAATGGAACAACATTGGAAAGCGATATTTCACAGCTGACCTCAACTTATTTGAGATCAAGGCATAATTGTCGTAACTTCAACATCTAACTGAAGCAAATTCATCGTTCCCCTAAAATATTTGCAACTCTATCAATGTAACTCTGCTAGCTGAACAAAATTCGATGTCCTACAATGATTTAAAAATGTTATCACTTTTTACCGTCTAACACAAAAAACATGAATATACAAGCAAAACAGAATCAATTGGCAATGTTGTGTTATAATCAGTCTTCCACCATTTCTGTTTCCTCAGCCATTATGATCTCCACATCCCGGATATCTCGCTTCAAAACATTGCCAAGCCTAGCAATAGCCTCAGTTTGCTGTTGCAAAACCTGCCCAAATGGAAGATTTTCATTAGTCTACAGAACCACCGATAATCACCATTTGCAGTAAATGTAAGTGATCAGACATGTACTAAAAATCAGAAGAAACAACACTAGCGGAAATCAGATGTGGATGTGAGAGTTGCGTCTGCTGAAACCTTACAAATTTCAAGGATGTTCAACTACGATATGTCTGAGCCTCACTAATTCACTTCCCGACTAAATTCATCCAACTATAGAAGCCGCAAACTCATGATAGTAATTAAACTCTTCATTTTTTTTCTCTTCCTTTTCCCTTTTACCTAATTCGTTTTACATCTTTTGCACTGATAGCCACTCCGCAGAGCAGATACACAACTGAGTTTGACAAGTACCAGGGCAGGAAAGTGATAAAGGCAAAGAGCACATATTGGGATATAAGCTTAAGCAGACCCGACATTCTCAATATGGTTACAAAGTGCTATTACACCACCACAACTTACAGATAGTGATGAGGAACAGCATTTAGTTATTGTAGATTTATAGCAGACAGAATGTTTTGCACATACCTCCTGCATGTCAGCATGTAGAGGCAAAGAGGACATATCACACCTTTTATTTTGGATAAATTAAAGCACATCTTACACTTGACAATATAGTTCCAAGGTGTGATTAGACAACCACAACTTACAGAAAGCCATAAGGAACATCATTTAATTTATGTTGCCAACAGACTGTATTGCTCATACCTCTTGCATGTCAGCAAGACTCTCTTCATGAATTTTAGTTGAACCAGGGAGAACAGAAGCACCTCCAAGGCCATTTTGAACACGGCATACAGTGAGCAGATTCTGAACCCTCCTTGAAAGTTCTGCTCCCGAACCTCTTAACTGTAAGTAGTATCTGTTTGTCAGAAGTCTAGACCGCCAAAAAGCACTCAAGAAGATTAAAAGACTAGGCTACTAACCTGTCTAGTGATGGCAGCCAACTTCTCTGCCAATTCAGCTTCTCCTTTCATCAAAGGCAATCGACAACCTTTACCTTCCAGTGCCTCTAGTATTCTCATTACCTGTGTAGTGCAGGCAAGCAAGAACAACAGTACAATAAGCATAAATGCAGAACCTAATAGTGCAAACAAGAGTCTTGTGTAATTATTTTAATGGAAGCGAAAATCAGGATGCTGGTGATCCTTGACCATCATTAAAAGGACACATCTCACAGATAGTATGCTTATAATTTGGTTTAAGTCAATGATAAATTACTAATCACAGTTAAAGAGACATGTACGAGTTTTCACTAATAGAAATTAAGATTATAAGAAAGGCCAAATAAGAATTGCACCCTTAAAAGGCGTCTTTGAAGACCTTGCTCTTTCTGTCTCATTCTTTCGATCCAGGGAAGGGTATCAGCTTGGAAATGCCTTTGCAGCTGCATTCATAATGCAGAAAATAGAAGACACTTTTGGGACACCATGTGCAAGCACACAATAAGAGAGGAGAAAGGAGACGAACCGTTTTCACATTGCTCTGTGTCATTCGCAGCCTCTCAGCATCCGAAAATATGACTTCATCTTGCAGCTACACGAATTCAATTGGGAAATATCAATTACCAGGAACCACAACCCATCCCCACCCTGGAACTCAAAATTTAGAGGAAAACTCAAAACAAATGAAAGGCTGCCATTAAAATGAGAAAGTATGATGCAAAGGCATCTCAAATGCTTGAAACGCCTATCATACAGGGGCAGACATGAAAAGATGAGAACTAGAAAATCCTAATATTAACCTCACCGGCTAAAAAGTAATTTAACTAATTAATTATAATTTAACTAAATCTATAGAACATCTATAAGATCGGCAATGTTATATGGTAGTGAATGTTGGGCTGCTAAAGTCCAACATAATGACATATCCACAAGATGCGTGTTGTAGAGATGCGGATGCTAAGATGAATGTGCGATCATACAAGATTAGATAAGATTTCAAATAACCACATTCGCCAGAAGGTGTATGTAGTATGCGTTGAGGATAAAATGAGAGGTCGCTTGAGATGGTTTGCCCATGTCTTGCATTGACCTATAGATACAGTAGTGAGTTAAGGTGTAAAAAGGAATGGGGTAGACCTAAAATCACATGGAAGGAAGGTGTTTCGAAAGATTTGCAAATCCTTGAAATCAATGTAGGCTTAGCTAAAGATATGGCACAATGAAAGAAAAATATCCATATAGAATTACAGATGATGCCTACTAGGTAGGAATATGCTTTAGACTTGTTAGAGAATTTTTAATATTATAATTATTATTACTATTATATATATATATATAAAACTTATTTTTCACTTTCACTTCTATCTTATTTTGGTACGCTGATGATATGAGTTGAGTAAAAAGAAAGACGTGAGGATTCATATCGATGACCCCAACTTTTTTGGGGTTGAGGCATAGTAGTTGATGTTGTAATCAAGAGCGGGGATAAACACAAGGCATCAGGCCGGGATGGTTTGTCTACAGGTTTCTACAAGCATTGTTGCCCGACAAATGTGCGCTATTAACCATTGCCCATAGTCTGGAGCATTTGAGAGAAGCTTAAATTCCTCTTATATTGCCATTTGGAATGATGTTCTCGTAAATAATCAAAAAAGGAAATGACATCACCTTTTTTTAGGTGGTAGAGTTATTTTGATAAACAGTGTTCTTGAGCTCTTCCCACTTACACCATGTCTTTGTTTCTTGCCCTTACTTCAAACTTGAAACGTATGTAATGTCATGGGCGGCTTTCCAACCATGCCCCATGACCCCTTGGACGCGCCCCGTGGCG